CACATGCTTTGATGATGTTTAGACACATTTTGGTGGGACATTTCAAGGCTGCAGATCATTTTTTTTGGCAGGCAAGAGGGATATTGTTGCAGGAAACAGCTCATGACACACTGCTGCTCCCTGGGGGTCTACTTGTTAACAGTGAGATGAGATACAAAAGCAGACAGTTTGCACGGCCTGATATCACCATGGAAAATTACACCAGGTCTGCTTATATGTTCACTTCACTGTCAATATACTGCTCCTACCACTCTACAGTGTAAGTATTCATGTTTACACTCTTATACAGGTGAATTAAATGTTATATTGGCGAATAATGTGAGACATGTCACCCTGTAGTAACAAATAATGGTGTGATTTTAAAGTGTCTTTATGGATATGAGAGAAGAAAAGGACTGCATGAACAGATAGAAGATTAGAGTGCTAATACTGCTTTTTTTTACTCTAATGACAAAGATTAGAAAATAATATAAACATATAAAACGGTCACTCTACATTGCCTGCTCTGCAACAAGCAGCGGACACAGTCAAGGAGCCTTACATTCCCCTCCAACACTGGATATGCATACAGTTTACTAAATTAGCCAAAGAGATGGTGAAGAAAGCAGTGGGTTAAAGTAATGTTTCTACTGCCCCCAAGTGGCCAACAATATGTATTGCAGGTTTAACCCATCAACTTTGGTGTTGATGTTTTTAATTCAGGATGTGGAGAGAGAATATGCACATGCATTCATGAGTTGTTGCAAAGTTATATATCAGGATCTTTTCACATGTTAAACTTGTTGATAACAGTCCCTGATGCTCTTGGAGCCAATCACAGCATGCCTTTCATTCTAAAAAAAAAAATGTAAGTCTTTAAATGTTTCTTTCCCCCCTTGCCAATTAAATCAAATAACCAACATACTTGTGGAGTGGGATCCTGTTGCTTTTCATGACTCTTCTCAGTTTGTCCACTATTCTTCAAGCAAGTCATGCTCTGCTCCTCCACCAGCTGAGTGTAGGCCTCCACGGCAGAGAGCGCTTGGCGGGGAGTGTATTTAGAAACCGTGGGAGGCTTTGGAGAGGGAGTGCAGCTTCTTGAAAAGAAAACAGCAGAATATCAATATTGATTTATCCAGCCCCCAAAAAGGATTTCTCTACATTGAAAACATATCAAATCAAAGTGTGTTAAGTCTATCATCACAAAAATGGAGCAACAGCATGTGGTTTAATCAAACCGCAGTGGTAGATTTCTAGCATGTAGGGAACATTAGAATGAAATAATCATTGATTTGATTTTTTACCTGCACATGTTGGAGTTGCTGGACGAGAAAGAAGGCGGCTGGGTGTATGAAGATAAGGTGCCTTGAATTTGATTAAGTGCATCTTCAATATTTGGGACATTTCTCCTGAAAGCTGAAACGAAATAAGAACAACTGAAATGCTTCACAACCATATTGCGCACTGTTTTTTCCATTGTAAGAGGCGTATGTAAGAGACATCACTAACATTGTCTGCGTCTCTGAGACGGAGGTAGGTGGGCTCTTTGAAATCGCTCGGTTGCATCCTGGACTCGCTGCCTGCGCTGCTGCAGCACGTTGTCTCTCAGCCGTTGCTCCTGCTTGTCCCATTGCTTCTGTCTTTCCTCCAGAGCCCTGCGCCAGAGAAATGAACCAGAGGCACGTTTTATCTGATTACATTTAGACTGTTTGAGGTGAAGAAACCCGAGTCGTTTCCTTGATAAAAGTATTCTACAAAGTCATTAATAAATTAAAGCGACCCCTCACCACTGGACTGACAGAAGAAGCCAATGGTGATATCAACAGGGTCGATCAACTTTACTGATAACATGTTGAAAAGGTTTGGTAATTATTTTCAACAAAAACAAAACACATTATTGAACAGTAAGTTGCTCGAGCATTTGGTCACCACTCCTGTTACTTTAAAACTAATCAGAGCTTTTATCATTTTAAATGTCTTATCTTCAATCAGAAATAAATAACGAATTGTAATCGTTAGAATTTTGATAATATGGAATTATTTTTTGGACTACAATCATGCCTCATGAAGAGGTGTTGTGATTGTCTCTTAACTTTTATTGTTTATTGACATTTTGTAACAAATTATCCTGACGTGTTTACGTTGTAACTAATCATGTACTCAGACAGTGTTACCTGGTTGCATAAGTATTTATTTATAAGGTGTATGTGATTTATGTAATCTGTAAAAGTGAGATCAGTGCACAATTTGTAAGGACTGAGACGAGCAGTTAATAGTCAAGCAGGTGATAGTCAACGCAATTTTGGTGATATGTGAAACTGCACTCTTAAATTTGTGTAGGAGATAAAAATAAACACCCAGTCTGTCTCTGATATTACACAATACGTCTGTCCTCCACCTGCTCTTTCAAGCTCTTGGTTTAAAAAGCAGGAACAGTTACTTTTAGCCACTTGTGATAAAAAGAAAAAAACACATTCGGTATAGAAGGTGGTTAATATCTGCAAGGGATTCGAGCCTCATGCAGTGCTGAACTTTGCAGCTTCAGGTGTCACAGAGGTGACACTTCAGTCATGGATCTGACCAACAGTCACTCTCTGGGCCAATAAATCTATTTTCAGGTATAGACTGCAAAATCCTGTCAACACCGTCCATGCCTGGAAGGCGTTAAGCCGTTGACAGAGAGCATAAGCCGTCCATCCAGGAGGTGCAATACCTGCTGTTACAAAGTTACAAAGAAATGGCTTTTTTGCGTACAGAAGAGAGGACACAACCTGAGAGTGTTCAAATTAAAACAACAATGTACTGTGAAGGGTCAGAACTGACTTCCTGCGTCGGTTTGTTTCCACGGAGAACTGGCGAGCTCTGGTCCTGCACAACTTCTGCTCTTCCACCAAAAGTTGTCGCTCATTCTCGAGGCCTCCATCAGCTCCCAACCTTGAATTTCTAGAAGTGAGCAGCTAAGGAGGGGGAGGGAGGGGGGGGGTCATGGCAGCAAAGACGTCTGTCACAATCGTGTTACCTTGGACTTAAAGGTGCTCTATGTAGTTTTGGTAGAGGAAGGCGGAAGTTGGAGAAATGTACAGTTTCTGTGGTATATGTTCATGATACACAAACTGTCCTCAGAGGAACATTAAGACACTGGAACACTGTTTGGAGATAAAATGCTACATGAGAAGTTATGGTTGGGGATCTGCAACGGTGACACTATAAATCTCCTGGTAGCTTATTAGCTCCAAACCGTGTCTGTGAGTAAAGTTTGTGTATTTAGTTCAGAAAATAAAGCATACAATTGTTTCACTTCTCCAACTTTCAAATTTCACTGCCAAAATCTACATAGTGCACCTTTAAGTTTCCAATAATATTACAGGCTGGTTGTAAACAGGTAGGCCTATCATTAAACTGATCAACATGCTGAATAACTTCTCTTCCATTCATTTACATCTGCACACAATGCAAAGCGATAGTTTTAGTTGATCACTTCTAGGATACGAGTGGTAGAAGAAGTTGTCTTGAAGAAATTGCATCCTCCGAGGCTGCCGCTGGTTGCAGACGCAGGGGCAGACATACAGGTTCGGGTCCCAGCAGAGCTCTTAGCAAGCGGCTAACTTGTCTCCCTCAGCTAACGCCAGTCAGCTGTTTACTTATTCAACCCATTTCAGAGCGGAGATAACCCTGCAACGCAACCCTCTCAGCGTCGTTGGAAACCTCTCCTGGAAGATGAAAACAACTCCTCCTTTCGTCGTGTACAAAATAAACGCTGCGTCTGAACTTGTCACTTTTCTAGCAGCTTCACCTGAGTCTTGTCTGTGTACAGTCACTCCACGGTAGCAACCGAGGACGCAGTTCCTTGACGACGGAGCTCGTGTTGGTCATAATCGAGATGTCCAGCAGAGGGCGCGCCTCTTGGTGCTTCAATGCCGCCTTCAGGTACACCGTGAAGTGTCGTAATATATAGTTAGCAATGAAAGATAGAAAATGCGACATAAATCGAAATTAAATAGAAGAGATTCCATGAAGTAATGCTATCAGGCTAAGACTATGTTTGTTGTGGTTGGAGATAACAGGTTAGGAAATGTCTGCATTAGTGGAAGCATATTTTAAAATCCAATCAATGCTTTGCAGGTCCCTGACGCAGAGTCTATAATTCAGTCAGCAATTACTTTTCTTTATACATTTTTATTTTTTTGGTGACAAACACTCTGACATTAATACTTAAAGAGTTATCACAGTTCTTCCTACATGTACATTTGTCAATAAAGGCACTGCAATTTAAATATAAATGCATATTATAACATAGAAATAAAATACAGGTAGGATTAGACCTTAAATAAACTCGTTTGAAATATTAAGTTCCTATAATTGTTTTACAACCATGTCAAAACATAGCATATTTTTATTCACACGTTTGTATCCAAATCTTTATTCCAAACATATAGCCTACAATTTTCCACATCCTAAATCTGCTCGGGACTGATGTCTTCCATATGATTTAAAAGGTGTGCTGCTGTTATATGTTAAATCTGATGTTACCTTGAGTTAAGAGGATTTAGAAAATCTGGCTTTTTCCAGATTGTTTATGCTACCCTATAGACGGGGGGGCACTGCATCAAATCTATTTCCACTGTCAAAGTCCCATAGAGTATTAATGGTGCTATTTCCTGCTGCCTGCACACTGACAATTACAAATAGTCCCAGGAAAATAATCCCGTCGCCTTTACACTCTGTTCATGGCACAGGTCAGTGGAGTTCTTCTGTGTTTAAACCCTCCATTACTTTGACGTAGTGCTTTAATACCGCTTTTTTTTTTTTCATTTGGGCTTTCCGGTCACACTCTTTGAACATCAGGGACGCAGAACCCAGATATAAACAGTTATCCTAAATTATCTGAAAATTAAAGGCCAGCATGTAGTCAACACATTTTCTAATGTCCTAAGTTTTTAAACACACCTTAAAAGCTGCTATAAACCCTCCCAGTGGGCGGTGCAGAGGCAGCATCGTCAGCATGAAGAGCCAAGGTGGGACTGAGGGTAAGAGTCAGTCTGACAGGTGCTCTACAGTCCCACAGCTGATGTGTACCACGAGTTGCAGTTGGAATCGTTTGAGGTAGTTTTGGCTCGTTTCGACTTAATTACGTGATAATTGAGTCATTTTGGATCCCAGCCTTGTCAGGGGTAAGTTGACGCTCTATAAGATTGAATGTAGATGCATTTTAGTGTAAAACAGGTTAATGTCCGTGCCTTATTTATAAATGAGAAATGTTTGCAAATGCTTGTGAAGCTTCAGGCCCATCATATTACAATATAAGGACCAACGGTGTGAGACTATATGTTTCTGAATAATTTCCGCCTGCAGTATCACAGTTTGTCAGATGTCCTGTTGTAGGCTACATCTTCTTCTGTCTAATAGGCTTCACTGATTTCTCTACTTTACATGGTGAGTGAGAAGATTTGACACATTCTGTTATGTCATGTGCACATGCAGACAGCTCCACTAATGAACTGCAGGAGAATCTGATGATCTGCCATAGTTCAGCATTAGAATAGGCTAGGGATGTTACTGCCACTTCTGAAATCTATCATTGTATAACAATTGTTTTCTTTATACTCTTTTTAGAGAATAGCCAGTCATGTCTTAAAACAAATCAAAGCATGGAGGTAAATCCACAGGGTACAGCTATATCAACTATTATTAAGAAAACAAAAAAATACAGCAAATTCATTATATGTATATATTTTATATCTCCATGGTTAGACCAGTTTCAATGTATTTGGGATTTTGCACCTTCTCTGGCTCATCAGCGTGACCACTATTCATTGTTTCTTATTTAAGCTGAATACAACAAGATGCTAGACAAAATAAATGTTGCAGGTGTGTTTTATAAAACGACATTGTGTGTGCTGTAAGATTGCTCAGTTTTGTAAAATGGTGTTAACATTAACTATGACTGAATGGAGAAACAAGCTCCTGAGAGAACCAAGTTTTTCAAATGTAATTACTGTACAGAAAGTAGATTTCCTTGTTTGACAATGACTCATAATCAAATTACTTTTAAATAGAATTACTGTCATCTGAGGTTATAGTCATGGACCAATGGATGGAGTTAACTTTATAGAGGAAACATTTAATAGGCCTACACGTTAGCGTTGGTTTGACCTTTAAACATCTCTAATACTGTTGAGTTATATTCCAGAAATGAACAATAAATCAGTCAGAGGCTGAACGGAAGGACAGTGCCAGGGCATCAGATGAAGGCAAGCAGATGATGAGTCTGTGGGTGGTGTCACACATGTAGTTATAATTCAGCTGAGACCAGCTGTCCGTTTGATACTGGTTTACATTCATTTTCATACTGACTCGTTCCCCATGCAGGCAGTTTTTGGAAATCTAGAGAGAGCTGATGTTGAGTTCCCTAAGACAGTAGACTTCTTTAGGTAATGTATCTTCTTTGTCAGGGATTAACAATTATTGTACTTTATTATAAAATGTGTACCAAGAGAGGGATATAAAAATGTTTTTGCAAACATATATAAATCACACAGATAAGGTCTATATCCACAATTCTATTCATTTAGCAGACGTTTTTGTCCAAAGCGACATGCATCAGAGAGTAAGAACAATACATTCAAAGATCTACAGAGGAGGAAACCATGTCAGGAAATGCAGACCAACAGTTTTTTAATCAAGCAAGCAATCAATCAATCTATCAATCCTCATTTGTATAGTGCCAATTTTAACAAATGCAATCTCAAGACACTTGACATAAGAGCACGTAAAAGACCTTACTCTTTCTTATATTATCTAAAGTAACCCACAGTAATCCATCACGAGCTAAGCAACACTTTGCAAAGTAGTAACAGTGGCTAGAAAAAGCCTACTTAAAGAGGTAAAGTAAATATATCATCATCAACGACATCATCAGCTGCTCTTGTTTTAAGTTTCAATCACCATCAAAACCATTCTAAATATCGTCATCGTGGTCACATGTATCATGATCAATATCACAGTCATCATCATCATTCATATCATTAAGTGCACTGGTGTTCATGAAAGAGTTGGGTCTTTAGTTTTTTCTTAAAGGTGCAAAGGGACTCAGCGGATCAAACAGAGTTTAGTAGTCCGTTCCACCACTGGGGGGCGACAGAGGAGACGAGTCTAGCTAGAGACTTGGAGCCTCTGTTGTGAAGGTTGGATTAAACGGCTTTCATTGGCAGAGCGTATTGGGCGGGAGGGAATGTAGACTTGAGATGAGAGACTTTATGTAGGGAGTGATTTTATAACATCTACAATATGTTTACTTGTCTTTAGATGAAGAAATGAAGGCAGAGCCATGATGATGGCACGGCAGGTTGTGGCCAAACCCCGGAGGCAAGCTCTACGGGGAGATGGTTACCTGTTACACGCTCAGTCCTCCTCCTGCCTTTCAATGACAGAGGAACTCTTCTTAGATGCCGCAGAATATGGAAACATTCCTGAAGTGAGACGGATGCTGGAGCAGCTGCCAGAACTGGACGTCAACTGTGTGAACTACATGGGCCTGAATGCATTGCAGCTGGCTGTTGCCAATGAGCATTTAGATGTGACTAAGCTCCTGCTCACCAAGAAAGACCTCGCTAGGATAGGAGACGCTTTGCTGTTGGCCATCAGTAAAGGCTACATCCGTATAGTGGAGGCCATACTGAACCATCAGGCCTTGGCAGACAGTCACATGCTGACTAACAGTCCCAGTCAGGCTGAGACACGCGACGACTTCTTTGCCTATGACGAGGACGGCACGCGTTTCTCTCGCGACATCACTCCCATCATCCTGGCCTCGCAGTGCCACGACTATGAGATTGTGCATATACTTTTCACCAAGGGGGCCCGAATAGAGCGGCCCCATGATTACTTCTGCCAGTGCAGGAACTGCAGCGAGCAGCAGAAGCACGACTCCTTTAGCCATTCACAATCCCGCATTAACGCATATAAAGGTCTGGCCAGTCCAGCGTATCTGTCCCTCTCCAATGAAGACCCGGTGATGGCAGCCCTGGAGCTGGGGAACGAGCTGGCAGTTCTGGCAAACATTGAGAAGGAATTCAAGGTACTGTATTGAAGAAACATGTCACTTTGTTTTGGTGACAAGGATAAAGATGTTGTCTTTGTCCGTTACAGAATGAATACCAGAAGCTGTCCATGCAGTGTAAGGACTTTGTTGTGGGACTCTTGGATTTGTGTCGAAACACAGAGGAGGTGAAGGCCGTCTTGAACGGGGACACTGAATCATGTCAAAGCGCCGAAACCTTCAGCAGACAAAACCTCATCAGATTAAAACTTGCAATAAAATACGAGGTTAAAAAGGTAAGCACTTGAGATAAGCTCTTTCACTTTAATGATTGGACTTGATGTAACTGTTTTCATATTCTATTTTTTCTTCTCCCTTTCCGGTCCCTCCAAATCATCCTTTTCCCCTTACACACCCTTCCTCCAACCTTCTCTCTGTTCCTCATACACACACACACACACACACACACACACACACACACACAACAAACCAATGATGCAGTTTGTGGCACATCCAAACTGCCAACAACAACTCCTCTCCATCTGGTACGAGAACTTGTCTGGACTACGTCAGCAAACCACAGCGGTTAAAGTCCTGCTTGTTCTTGGAGTGGCTGCTGGGTTGCCTGTCCTGGCCTTTATTAACTGGATTGCACCATCGAGTAAGGTTAGTTACAAAAAAGTTTCCTGTTTACATTTTTTTTTTTTTTTTTTACAAAGTAGATTGTAAAATGTAAGTGTGTAAGTGTTTCTTAAGTTGTGATTATTCTCCAGCAATGGCGGCTCCTGCCAGAGGCTTTAGGATGTGATGCTCTTGTAGTTCCTGATCATGTAGAAATGATATGTAAGATATTGTTTACCTGGAATTTAATTTGTGCAGGTGTAGAATTGTCCTTTTGCTAACATTGTATTACAATGACTTACGATGGACAGTTGAAATTGGATTCAGTCAAATAAAGATATTGACTTTTAATTGCACCTGTTCATCTGCCTTGTCAAACCCTGGTGCCTACATTACCCATAATGCATTTACATCTAATAATTCTGTCAAATAATCTGGTAAACCTACAGAGATGATGAGTAGCTGGATTCACACGTCTTGTATTCTCCCTTTTTTGTCGCTCCACATCAACAGGTGTATGTAGATGTGTGTTGTATGGGATGGTGCATGCACCTTTTACAAATATGTTTTGGTTTAAAGTAAGAAGTCTTGAATCCACTTGTTCATTTATTATTATTATTTTATTTTGTTTTTCATGTTTTTTTGTTTTGTTTTTGTTCATTATTTGAAATGAGTTTGTGTTGTGTTTGTTTATTTTTGACTTCTGTACAGCACATTGAGTTTACATTTGTATGAAATGTGCTATACAAATAAAATTGAACAGATTTTCACATTTGAATCCATCTGACGCTGCCTTGTGTGTGTCATCACTTGAGGCCAATCATAAAACAAAAGAACAATGTTATTACTTTGTCTTGTTTCAGCTGGGGAAACTCATGTGTGGACCTTTCCTGAAGTTCATCGCCCATGCAGCTTCCTTTATGATTTTCCTGTGCCTGCTGATCCTGAATGCAGCAGACCGGTTTGGGGGAACATCGCTGCTTCCTAACATGACGACCCATGATCACCCCTCGCAGTTGTTTCGAATGAAGACCACCCCCTTCACCTGGATGGAGATCCTCATCATCTCCTGGGTTATAGGTAATGAGTGAAACCAGCTCACTATAACCCTCCTCTCTCTTCATATACAATCACAAATAGCTCATCAAATGTTTTCTTCTCTCATCCTCCTCACATTCACTTGTGTCTACTTCTCATAGTTTGACTCACAGTCCAGCCCTTTAACAATCAAATCTCTCTGCTGTGCATACAGGGCAGAGGATATTAGGAGTCATAGGGAAGTTATAAATCCCCCAACTCTCTCTTGCCAGGAAATTGCTTGAATAAATGATTATTTATTCTTAGGTTATTTCCCATAATAAATCAGACTAAAATGACCTCCAGTTGAATGCAAGGTGACACTTGAACTTATCTCTATACAAGCAAGGCTTTGGCATCCAGCATTAATAAGTCTCATGAGATGATCAGTTCAAGCTTTATTTATCATGTTTAAAGGCAAAGACCAAAATCACACCAGGTATTATGAGTTAATCAGAGAGAGAAACAATCTTGACTATCAACCACATGTGTATTGTTATTTTTTTCTTACAGGGAAGATCTGCGAAGAATGTAAAGACATCTGGTCACAGGATATCCGGGAATACATGTCGGAGCCCTGGAACCTCCTGGATTTTAGTATTTCAACCATTTTCATGACCTCTTTCATTGCCCGGTTAATGGCTTTCTGGCATGCATATTCTGCTCAGTGTTATGTTGACGAGCACTACAACGGCCTGGCCAACATGACCCTACCCTCAGAGATACAGTATTTCCAGCTGGGTAAGTGCTGACCAAAGAATTCATATTGAAGTATCAGTCATGATTTTACACATACAGTTTTTTGTAAGAGAGGATATACTGGCTCAGATTGATATTTTAGATGTATCTGCGTTTTCCTGGATAATTACATTTACAAGTTTTAAATTAATGCACATCTATTTATAGACTAGATCTTTTTTTCCTTCACCACATTAAAGATCAAGAACAGAATTTTATTTTTTTAAATACTCCGGCTAAACGCACTTCTCCTATGACTTTTAGAGATTTACAAAAAAAAGGTAGTTGTCCTAATGGAGTAAAAGTAAAAATGGTCATATTGAGCATTTGTCTATTTTCAGCTCGTGTCAACTGGATGCCCTCAGACCCCCAGCTCATTTCTGAAGGACTCTATGCAATTGCAGTTGTGCTGAGTTTCTCTCGCATTGCATACATCCTGCCGGCCAATGAGAGCTTCGGGCCTTTGCAGATCTCCCTGGGAAGGACAGTCAAAGACATCTTCAAGTTCATGGTGATTTTCATCACCGTTTTTGTGGCTTTCATGGTGGGAATGTTCAATCTGTACTCGTACTACCTCGGAGCCAAGCACAACGATGCCTTCACAACGTGAGTGTCAAGTCTTCACTGTCGCAATAACTGGTTTTTGGTCAGTGTTGGATATGATGCAACAGTTGCTGTCACTATCCAAGTGTTTCGCGATGCTAATTCAATCTTCCATCTCTCTATTTCTCAAGGCTTGAAGAGAGTTTCAAGACGCTCTTCTGGGCCATCTTTGGCTTGTCAGAAGTGAAATCAGTGGTCATCAACATTGACCACAAGTTCATAGAGAATATTGGGTATGTTCTTTACGGGGTGTACAACATCATCATGGTGATCGTCCTGCTGAATATGCTCATTGCCATGTTTAACAGCTCCTTCCAAGAAATTGAGGTAAGACAGATGAGTTAATATTTCTGAATCAGTGTAAACTGTGTTTTTCTTGTATGCTATGAATGATGATGAAGACCATGTTGTTCTACAAGTATAGATGTTGTGGTATCATTTGACAATTAATCTGAAGATGTTATAATTAATAACACAGGGGAGGCTGTGGCTCAGTTGGTAGAGTTGGTACATGTCCAATGTTTCCTTGGGCAAAACACTTAACCCCAAATTGCTTCATTGGCAGTGTATGAATGTGTATGAATGGGATAACTTTATACTGATGGACACTTTACATATCAGCCTCTGCCATCAGTGTGTGAACGTGTAGGTGTGACCTGTGGTGTAAAAACACTTTGAGTAGTCAGAAAACTAGAAAGCGCTAAACAAGCTCAAGTCCATTTACCATTTATAATTTACAACTGATTTATTCAGAGTTGTGATGTTTAAGTCATGTTTTGTATTTGAGGTCTACACTTAAATGATACACATTTGATGCAGAAATGGAGATACGATGATTTCAGTTTCACCTGTTGGTCATCACATGTTTCTCTGCGTCTCCTCTGTTGTCGCAGGATGATTCTGATGTTGAGTGGAAGTTTGCCAGAGCCAAGCTGTGGTTCTCGTACTTTGAGAATGGCGGCACACTGCCCGTGCCCTTCAACCTCGTACCCAGCCCCATGTCTGTTGTTTCCCTCTGGCTGGGGATAAGGGACCTTCTCCGGGATGGACCTCAGGGCAAAAGCAAAGAGAGTACACATGATGAACGGGAGCTTAACAAGGCAAGGCATCACATGCTTCCAAAACTGAAATGCAAAAGGCAAAGAAGTTCACAAATTACGTTTGTCAAATGTAGACAGATTGCTAAAGACATTTGTATAAATTGTACTGTGATCTACAGTGCCCTCTTGTGTCGCATTTAAAAATAGCATGTGTGTTTTAAAAAAAAGTCAACCAGGATTCTGCTCTTTTTTTGTGTCTTTTTTTTTTAATCTTAGCTGAGGCAACAGGAAGATCTGACTGTGGAGACACCACTTTGTCCATCCCATCACCAAGTAAAACTGTTTTTCATTTCCTAATGTTGATTAACCTTTTAATGACTGAGCTGTCAAGTTCTGATTTTCTCTCTTGAGTTCAGATTTTTACACATAAGAACACTCATGATACAGGTTAGTAATGTCTGCTACTTCATACACAGAGGACACATATCTTATAGAGTGATCAAAAGGAGACTTTTTATACTGTACTTGAAGGCACCACAATAATATATCAGATAAATCCAAAGTTTGAATGATCAAACATTTTAACTGAAACAAGTCAACAGCTGCTCTAATTGTTCCTAAAAAGCTCTGAATTTATTAAATAATGGACTCATGAGTTTAAGACTAAAAATACATTTCCTTTGTTACAGAAGATCATGAACCGCCTGATCAAGAGATACATCTTACAAGCCCAGAGGGATAAAGAAAATGAAGACATTAACGAAGGTGAGTTTGGTGGCACTTTCAAATGTCTGGATCAACAAATCACAGATCTGTAATTTTTCACTCACTGTCCCGCAGGTGAACTGAAAGAAATCAAACAGGACATCTCGAGTCTCCGCTATGAGCTGCTGGAAAGAGAGAACCATGACATGGAGACACTGGCAAAGCTCATCAGGCATCTGGGAGACGACATACACGTCCATCAGAGAGCAGCTCAAAAGAATTAGATTGTTATTTTTTTGTTAAAATAAGGAGTTAATGTACGAGATGTATTTAGGCTTCTGTCTTTTGCCAGTCTGTAAATAAGAAACTGTTCTTAATGACCTGCCTGGTTAAATAAAGGTACAATAAAATAAATATTAAAAAAGACGTGACACAATGCACTTTGCTCCTCATTCTAGCATTCACTCAGGGTCAAAGGGCCCTTAAGCACAGACTTAACAAAGTATTTTTTTGACAAACGTGAACAAATAAAAAAAAAAGAAAATCTATGTATTAAACATTAAATTTAAATTTATCTACATGTTTACATATATACTCCCAGTGCCAACACTGTTCATCAAATGTTGGTGCTGATTGAACTTTTTTTCCTGCACAGGCTCTGCTGCGTTAATATGCACTATACTGACTGCCAACATATGACTGTGCTGCCTGTTACCAGCTGTTTAGAGGGTTTAAGGTTGATTTAGAGGCTATTGTCCCATCTGGAGTAGAAAAAAGTGTTCAGACAGAAACAGCACATGTTGTTAGCTGCAGGCTCATAAAATCCCTCATGACACAGAATAAATGAAATATCTTTGGTTAGAACTGTCCTAAGAGCTGTCTGTGACTCACAGCAGAAGAGAGTGTATTTTATTCTGTAATGTAACCTCAACAGAACTTGAGTTAAGTTGTTATTTATGGACATGTTTCATTCAGTTGTCGATGTCGTAATCACCATGTTCAATGAATGCAATTAAAATCTGTTTAATGAAACTAATCTCATTGACTCTTGAGGGTTTATGGTTAAAAACATTACAGCAGATGCTGTTTGGCTCTTTCACTCTTGCTTTGAAGCAAGACTAATGTCTGAGAACAGTCTGACCTGTCAGATAGACAAACAGCTCACCTCCATCTGGGGAGTAAAAAGCAGTCCTGTCAGGACCCTGAATGAAGCATGCTGTAGAGGCTTTAAAAGCAGCAAATCCAAGGAACACTCATGGAACAATTCATTCCAAGAACAAAACATTAACCTCAAAAACATTTTTTTCAATATGATGAAAATCCAGTTGCCCAGTGCATGTCTGCTACATTACATACTGGATTTGAAGCCTACTGTGAACCTGCATAACAGTTGACGGTTGTTAATGGTTTTTGATTACTGTCACATTTACAGATTACAGCCATGTAAGAAAAGTAGGTCATGACAGCGTTTGAGAACACACGGTGTGGATGTGATAGTGAAACTATTATCTAATAATTATGTAGGCCACAGCATGAGAATCCCCGCTGATATGGACAAAAAAGATGACTCACGGCAGAGGGCCAAGGCCTGTCTGTGCATCATAACATGCATCAGCACCCATTTTCACCCATACTCTCCTGATTAACTTTAAGAGTGTAATCTAACTAGGATAAGAGAAATATGAACAAGATAAATGGAGACCAGCATGCGGTCTCTATCCAGACTTTTTAAAACATGGGATACCACACAGGCTTCTTCTGATAGCCTCATATTCAACACTTGGCATTTTGTGAAATAAACAGCAAAATCCATCAAGCTTTGATGGTGACCTTTCATGACACTCCATTAACTCAACAGAAAAAATCCACTAGATTGATTATTATGAATCTATGAATTAAAATACTTTATACATGATGATAATGAACCTTGAACTTAGTAGGGTTGGTAAGGATGACTATGAACAAGTTTTCATAATTATAAACAAAGTGATTGGAATTTTCTTTTTAAAATATAACTTCCTCCTCCATAAACCTGGTTTCAGTTAAATCAGTGGTCTCAGACTTTTTAGACTGTGTACCATATAGCCATAAGTTACACTGTCTGTACATGCATCAAAACTGAAGCTCCTCCTGGCTCCGTTTTAAAATGTAAATGTAGTACAGCTGCTTGCTGCCGATTGTGTGCTGAACTCCAATAAATAACAGAATATCTGTTAATGTAGGCCTACATTAACAGATATTCTGTTAACAGATATTCTCTTAATGTAGGCCTACATTAACAGATATTCTGTTAACAGATATTCTCTTAATGTAGGCCTACATTAACAAATATTCTCTTAATGTAGGCCTACATTAACAGATATTCTGTTAACAGATATTCTCTTAATGTAGGCCTACATTAAGAGAATATCTGTTAACATAAATTGAGCAGATTAAAGTTGTTTGCTGCAAAAACTAGATTAATTTAGAGGGGAAAACACACTTGATATAAATACAGCCCAATAGATACAAGCTAGATAAGATAAGAGTACGACAAAGAAATACCGGTGGTACGCGTACCATCGTTTGAGAACCACTGTGTTAAATAATCAAGCGACAAAAAATGTGCCAAATTGTACGCACAGACTGAAAATATTAAGATTGCACCTCACTGATGATCATGGGTGGAGACTTAAGGCTCTTGGCACTGAAGTGATTCATCATCTGTTCTCCCCATTGGCTAGCTACTTCCCCTTAAAGATAGTGTTAGGAGTGTTACTCCATACACTTCTCATAGAGTGACTCTGCAGTGCGTCTTCCACTGGGATCTGGTGCATTATTCACTATTGCGCCTGAATTGGAAAAGCTTCAGTCTGTAAAAGAAAAAGGAGAAGAAAATCAATTTAACTTACAAACATGGCACCCACTTTCACTTCACTGAAACATGCCTGGTTCATTTACTGACATATCGAATAACTGCATACGTTTTATTCCTCATCTTCAACACTACAAACTTGTGTTTGTTTGATCTGACTGAACAGCTGTTACATATCACAGAGGCTCTTATGCGAATGAAAGTCAAAGTTACAGCCTTCCTAAACAGGGAGGAGGACTACAGGAAAGTCTCTGATCTAAGACGTATCACGCTGCGTCCAGCCTCCGGGCGCACTCCACTCTCTGCTGTGCGCTGCTCGGGGCAGGGAATGGACAATAAAGTAAGCGAAGGGATGAGCACTGCTGGTGCCTCGATGGCGGATTCCACTGAAACAAGAGTAAGTGACTTGATTGAAGCGGTGTATAGTAACAATAAATTATCTAACGACTCACAGTCTCTAACGTGCATGTCCTCCGACGTGCGTAATTTTGGAAACGTTGGCACACTGATCCACGGTGTAAACTCGACAGGCGAAGACACCGTTTTCAAAGACTGTACCGTACTCTATGGCTCTCTCGCTGGGAAGCATTTTTATGACCGAAGCAGTGACTATCTGAAGTGTGACAGTGCGCCGTGGGGAGATTTGATAAATGTTCAGAGGACGAGTGTGACCACAACCGAAAGTTTGCCATGCGCAAGTTTAAGTCTCCCGTCGACAACTGCAGTGTGTAAGTTCATCAAAGACGAACAGGAGCCTTCTGTGATTATGGGGACCCCGACCCTCTCTCCAAACTTTGATGCATCCGCGGAGATACCCGTTCTGGACTCCAGCTTCACGCCTGGGACCGTGGGTCCCCGACCGGGGCTGGAGCAGGGATCTCCAAACTTTTTGATCGACCTGAACCAGACGGAGCTGCTCCCAGCGCTGGGCCAGGGGAGAAGCGACTCCAGGTGCAGTTTGCCAGGGAAGGCTGGCATACAATTCGATGCCAACACGAACACATCCACGCAACTGACGATGTTCAAGAGCGAAGTTCCCCGTTGGCAGATTCAGGCGTGCCCTCCCGAGTCTCAGTACTGGTGCCAGTCATCAGCGTTTGCCGAGGAGCCGTTCACACGCGGCAGCTATGATGGGATCCAGAACCAGGCCCTGATTCAGAGGAACGCTTCACCTTACTCCACTTTCCCCGGGTAATTTACTTACTTCACTTAATGTCAATCTTTGAAAAAGAAATCAGTCGTGAGTGAACTTGTAATGAGTTTGCTCTGCTTGTGAGACATAATTCAAAGAAAAGATGGAGACAGCTGTTTCTCAGATTGTATCAGATTGTACTAAAAGCCTAAATGACAAGTGATGTGATAAATGATTTCCACTGCACAACAATGAGCCGTTTATGACTCAGTTCTGCTTCTTCTCATCTGATAAGTCCCTTCATTTAACTGCCTGTATTAAATCTGCAGTCTTCCTCCTTTCCATTAAAAGGTTCAAACCGATTAATTGTTGTTGACATTTGAAAAAACAACCTTAAACAAGAACATCTGACCACACAAGGTCTAGTTTCGATGTGGTTTTCTTAGAACATTGCATCTGGAGCCTGCAACGCAACACCAACCCTCAACCACCTCGTACACCTTATGCTGTACTCTGGGCACTTGACAATCAGATTCTTACTGTAAGAACAACATGTTTACTTCCTGTCTGTGAAAATAACAAGCCACATCAGATGTTGTACAGATTAATATTACTTATGCTCTGTTCAAACAACTGTCAAGTGAAAAAGTTTAAAATGTGGATCACAATCTCAGATGAACAGCCCCGCCTTCATCTCTTATAAGAGTTTGGATGTCTATATAATTGAAATGACCTTTTCTGTTGTGTTTTTCTTAGTATGCCGCCTCAGAGGATGTGTGTGATCTGTGGTGATGAGGCCTCGGGTTGCCACTATGGAGTGTTAACCTGCGGGAGCTGTAAAGTCTTTTTTAAAAGAGCAGTTGAAGGTAAGCAAGGTAATAAGATACTTTTTTTTATATATATATATAAAGGTTAAGAACATTTATTATTTAACTCAAGCAGTCATTTTCTTTTGTTTTTATAAATGTTTTTTTAAGTCACATATTTGTCAGGGCCGTGTTAATATTGTACTGGTAAAAAAATCCCACACATCAGCTACAGCAAACAGTTAACAAGCTTTTCTCAGATTTTATCGTTTAATTAAATGCCTTTTACCATCTGGCCAGTGACATCTGATCAAACCTGCTTGACTGCTTTATGATCCCTCCCTCCCTGATGGGAAAGTTTTTTTTATTTTGTCTTGGTTCTTTTTTCATGCACACTGTTGTAACTGTTCCTTAACACAAGCTGTATGACATGAATACATGAAAATAAAAATGTCCCTCCTGGGCTTACTTATTTCATTTTTCTGTTCACATTGTGTCTTTTTACAGGCTGCATCTGAACATGATTCCCATAAATAAGCTATCACAGGTCTACAGTGAATTTGGTGAATCACTGCGGGGGAGTTAACATCCATTTGGACTGACCTTCCATGGTAGTTGTTAAAGGTCATTAGCAACAGTATCACATTGACCAGTGTTCACCGTGTTCTTCGTCTTGGACTTGTTTTTTCTTGTTATCTGGCAACGCGAGATACGTAAGAGCCACTCTGTCTCACCATGGCCATGTCACTCTGTCCTCACAGCCTCGCCTCTATCTCATTTTCTTCTTTAGATCTCCCTAGAACAGTGTGGAGGAAAGTAGTCAGGGTAATAGTCGAGAGAGCTCTTCAACTCCTTTTCCTTCCTCATTATGTGCCTCTCCTCCTCCTTTGTATATTTCAAAAAAATCAAGTGCTGATAAAATTGTGAGCATTGTCTGTACCCTTTCAATCCATAGGCCATCACAGTTATCTCTGCGCTGGGCGGAACGACTGCATTGTGGACAAGATCAGGAGAAAAAACTGCCCTGCCTGTCGCCTTCGGAAGTGTTATCAAGCTGGAATGATGCTTGGAGGTACCATTTACTAAGATTTATTTTTGCACAGAGATAATTTGCCTGCATGGTATGAATACAACTTATTGGTCATGTAAGACTGAATCGCCACCACAAGGAATGTTTAAAGCGATTGATCAAAAAGATTGTATTGA